CCGCCCACGGGGTGGGGGGGGTTGTTGTTCCCCAAATCCACGAACAACAACCCCCCCCACCCCTCCCTATCGAAGCGGTCTCAAATGCGCTGAGAATATGTGTAAAAATTATACGTGATATATGAGATATGATATCTGCATCTAGATTTGCATACTTTGGCAGGGAGCTTATTGCTTTCGCCAGCTTCCCTTTGTGAGGAGTGCTTCACTTCGAAAGCGCAACATACACATCCATCCATTGCATGCATCGGATGCATGCATGCAGGTAGATAGGCAGCCTCTTCAGGCAAGGGAAAGGAGAAGTGCTTGCTGTAAGTCGTGCCAGGCCGACTTCGCCGCAAACCGCCGGCGTTGCCTGGACAGCGACTGCGGAGGCTTTGCATGGAGGAAGCCGCATTTCAATCAGTTCGGCGAGGAGGACGACCCGCCCGTGTGCCCATCCTTGATGGCTCTGAGCAACAGCTAATCCGACTTGAAACTCAAGATGCCGGTTTCATGTCTTATAGGGCAGACCGCATGCCTGAATAGGGCCTCATACGTCATCCGCCTGTTGAGGTGCTTCTTCTTCCGGCGAACACAGGCAGAGCTCCGAGGTGCCGTGAAGAAGGACGAGGCCTTTGACTTCTTCTTGGCGCCCGAGAGCTTTGAGCCAGATTGCGGCTTTAAGGTAGGGCGGGATCCCGCTCCCGCCTGCCACACCCGATGGCTCAGCGAGCCCGGGAAGGTGCACGCCTTTGCCTGCCAAGTTCGGGTGCCGGAGCCCTCGGAATGCACCTACTACTGCGCCTGCGGCTTCCAGAGTGGCTACTGTGGCATCCAGCAGCTCGAGGGCGAGAAGCAGATGATCCTCTTCTCCCTCTGGAACCACCAGAAATCCAAAGCACGCGTGGAGAACCTTGCCACCGCCCCAGGCCGGGACCCGGGAGCTGCGAAAAATCTCCCAGTCTAGCCAGCTTCGAGGCTGAGGCTGAGGGATGACTGTATGACTGGCTATGGCTGTGGTGTTGAGATCAGGCGTGGATGCCAAGCCTTTCGGTGGGGAAGGCATGGGCATGGGCGCCTACTGCGACAAGGGCCCTCTGGCAGCCTGGCACGCCGGAGAGGCCCGGAAGGGGACGTGCCCGGGAACCGCAAAGAGAGAGAGAGAGAGTCAGAGAGTCTGAAGCTTGTTGAGGCCTACCTCTTCGTGATCCGGTCCAGGGCCGTGGAGTCGGGATCGGAGGTGAGCTGCCACCTCCACAAGCCGCAGGAAGGCTGGGTGGAGTTCGCAAGGCACCTTCGACCGGAGCCCGAAGAGGACCGTGGGAAGATCTGGGGCCTTTACAGCTTCATCGAGGACTTCACTGGCTCCGTGGCAGATGTATACGGCATAAGGCTTTGCGTTGCCAGGCTTCTTTTTGTTGGCCCTTCAAAGAGTTGTGAGAAGAGAGAAGAGACGGAACAGACAATGACCGCGTGGGGCCTGCAGTGAAGTGCAGGGCTAGTCCACGCCAACTGGATGCATCAAAACTCGTTCCCACATCTTGGATGCCTTGCTTGATGTTACGGCTACGGTCGTGAGGGCGTGCAATGTACATGTGAGCTAGTCCACACTCACTGGAGGCATCAAAAGCTTGCTGGGACAGCTTGGGCACGCTGCTAGGTGTTACGGTCGCGGGGGTCTCCAACGCCCATATCAGTATACCCACACTCACCACATGCATCAAAACCTCGCTTGAATCTTTTGGACACACTGCTTGCTGCTACGGTCTTGGGGGGCGTCCAGTGCACACGTGTGCTATGGCCCACACTCACCTCGTGCATCGGCTACTTTGGACAATGTGGACACACTGCTTGGTGCTACGGTCGTGGGGGCGTCCAATGTTCATGTGACTTTGTCCACGCTCGCATCATAAGTTCGGTTTGATATTTTGGATGCACTGTTTGTCCACACAGCACTTGCATCAAAAGCTCCTTGGACGTTGTGGAATGCTGGAAAGACTGCTTGGTGTTACGATCGTAGGGTGCGTCCAATGACGATGTCAGGTCATGCCTTCCCTGTTTATTGAACACCACCTACTCTCAATTGTATATCAAAGCCACTTTGGGGGGCCAATCTTCCCGGAACATCCCTGCCCTTTAAAACACCTAATTTGCATTGTCATTAGAGTCGTCCGGGGCAAGAGCAGGAGGAGGAGGAGGAGCAAGAGCAAAAGCAGGAGCAAGAGCAGGAGCTGTAGGCGAGCTGGAGCAACAGCAAGCAAGAGCCGGAGCAAGAGAAGGAGCAAGAACAAGAGACCAAGCAACAGCAAGAGCAGGAGTAAGAGCAAGAGCAAAGGCAAAAGCAAGACCAGGAGTAAGAGCAAGAGCAGCAGCCAGGGCAAGAGAGCAGGAGCAAGAGCAGGAGAAAGAGCAAAAGCTGGAGCATCAGGAAGGGCAGGAGCGAACACCAGCGGGAGAGCAAGACCCAGAGCAGTAGCAAGAGCACGATCCTGCAAAAGTGCCAGTAGAGATGAATATTATAGCTATAATCATAAACAAACTTTCCGAGTTTTTGCTTGGGGGGGCGTCCCCAGAAGGAACGGTTCAGTCCACACTCACCAGATGCAGCGAAAGGTCGCTGGATATTGTGGGCAAATGTGAGCTAGGCTAATTCACCGACGACTGGCTGTGACGAAAGTGCGCGTGGTGAATTGCTATCTCCAGTGTTTACAGCCTGTCATGCGAGATGTGTGAATGCGGTCGTGATGTTTCCTCATGACATCTGATGACTGAGTTGCATAGAGACAGACTCGGACTGGAAGAAAGGAAAGGAAGAAGACTGTGATGGGTCGCTTCCGAGGCAACTCCGTGCGCCGCTCGGCCCAGTACGCCGCCTGGGTGCAGGTGGAACCTGGAGCAGAATGGCAGGCCGTCGGTAGCATCAAAGGCACCAGCTCCGCCGACCTCGACGTTCCCAACAAGTGCGTCCGGTTGCTGGAGTGCGAGAATGAAGGATGCGAGGTCGTCTGCATGGAGAGTGGTGGTGCTGCCCTGGCAGACTGCGGCCTTTGCTCCGGAACCTGGCGGGCCCCGCCCGTTCCCAAAGCTCTCTCCGAGCTCGACGCTTGAGTCCAACAAGGCTTTCCCTGACCTCCCAGGGAGGCCTCCCCCGACTCGCTGGCAGCGACGAGGCCGAGGCGCACTTCGACGAGGCCGTCGCGGCCGCAGCGTCTCATGCCCAGGGCCAGCGAAAGCGGAGGGCTTGGGCTTCGGCAAGGCCTTGCCAAGGCCGCGTCTCACGTCTCACGCGGAGGCCACCCCTAACCGAACCCCGCGAAGAAAAAAGTGGGTCCCGATGCACGGCTTAGTCTCGTGAACGACTCCTGACTGAGGTCTACGTTTGCCAGGTGGACAACTGTGATGCGGGCGGACCCAGTACTCGGTGTTCCATGCTACCGATACTGTCTATGAATGCCACGTACAACATGACAGGAGCTCGCAATTTCATGATTCTGAAGTCGACGAGTCAACAACTTGCAATATGCCAATATGCCAGACTCAGCTTAGGTTGGCTTCCCCGACGGTGGCCTCGAGGTGGTCGCGCGCGCCTCACATGCGAGCGGCTCCGGCCTCTTGATACAACGCCTGGCCATCCTCAGCCCTAGACTCCTAGGCCCTGAGAATCCCAGACCCTGCAGAGAAAGCTCCGAAAGTCGCAGCCCATCTTTCGGGGACCAGACAACCGGAAGCCTACTTTCAAGACGGACGCCCAAAGTCCTCCAGCAATAACCCTAAACCTGCAAATCTGAAGGCTCGAAAGGTCCAACTCCCCATATATCCCTGCACCCCTGCATAGCTGCAGATCTCCCCACTGGCCCACAGCCCTAAACCCCATATCCCCATAGGCCCATCAATCCCGGAAACCCCACGCCGGAGTAGCGACCCCAGAAAACCCCCCCTCCCTTGTCGAGGCCGGCAACTCGCCGACCTTCCCCTCGAATCCCTTCACTCTGGTCTCCGCGCAGCAGACCGTGATCGAGGCCCCCGGCCTTTCTGGGAGTTTAGGGTTTAGGTGTTTTGGGTTTTCCAAACCCGATAAACCCTAAACCCTAAACACCCCCCCTTTCAGCCCCAAGAAGTGTGTTGAAGGAAGGAGTATGTGCAGGACCGGTTTGCATCGGGCAGTTCCCTGGAGCCCCGACCCCCGTTCCTGACGGCCTTCGCACGCGCTGGCAGCTTTCCTGGGGCTCGCCTTCGGGGGCACGGCGCCTCGTTGGGGACTCGGCAGGCACTGAACTGCAAGCCATTTCAGCTACTCAGGGCTCGGAGCGTCTATATTCAGTACACACACTGTTCGTATATTTTGTGTTGAGGCATGCAGTAAAAAAAAAGGTATAGAGTCCATATCGAACAGTTGGACATACCTTAAACCGTAGAAACCCTAAACCCGCAAAAGGCTGCTGGTTCCTAATCTCTTGGACTGGCTCTGAGGCTGCGGCCGTGGCGCCCAGGCGGCGGCTCACCGGGCTGCCCGTTCTGGAGCCGGGGAGCCACAGACCGTTTAGGGTTTTTTGAATTTGGGTTATTTGGGTTTAGGGGGATTTAGGGTTTTAGTTCGGGTTGAGGGGATTTAGGGCTTAGGGTTTATATTGCTCAGGGTTTGCAGGCTTACGAGAGACCCGCATCACAGCACCTCCCAGGTACCAGATCTTCTCCGACAACGGACAGGGCGTTGGGGGCAGTCTCACGAACTCCATCTATGCCTGCGGCCTATTTTTTTAGGCGGCTCCCCCTTGGCTCGGAGCTTCGATCAGGTCGGCTCGGCAACCTCCTTTCGGGCGGACACCCTGAACAGAGGCGTCACCTACCGCTTCCAGGCCCTCTGCTGCCAAGATCCTTCCGTTTCTCTGTGGCTCTGGCCTGGCGCTGCCTCACTTAGATCCGGGCCCGCAATGCCAACGGCGGCGGCCCAAGAGAGAGTGCACGGCCGCTACGTTCCACTCTCTGAAGTCCTTCAGGCTGGGGACCTCTCAGCGGGATCATGTCCTTTGCGGCCTCCGAGGCAGGCAGCACCGACACAGCACAGCAAGCGACGCCAAGTCAACGCTAAGTCGCTAAGCCGCCAGCGATGCTCCGAGCTCCCAGGCCCCTGGCGTGCCGCGCAACCTGAGGCCGGCGGCTGTCGCGCGTCCTGGCCCGTCCGAGCCATGCAGCCGTGCACCGGCATGCACTTGATGCAGGTACCTGTCCTCGACGACAACCTCTGTTAAGGCCTGCATCCACCCAGTCTGGGCCTGGGCTTCATCGTTTGTGCTTGAGCTGGTCAGGTGGTCTGGGATGTCCCAACTGCCGTGCACAACGACGAGTCGCCCATCACTCGCTATGAGGCTTTCGACCGGTATACCGCAGCAGCATCAAGGCTTGAAGAAAGAGCCGCGCCGCGCACAGAGTCGCAGGTGCTGTGGAACGACCAGACAACCATGTCAGCCACGCAGATGCTGACAACGTCACCGGGCTTCAAGGAGGCCCAGCCTAGTAGCGGTGTGCCGAAAGTGCCTTGCCTTACTGGACAATCATCCCTTGGAGAGGTGAGCCCTCCTGGCCCGCTCACGACCGGGAACACCATCCGCTTCGAGGCGCCTTCTTCGGACCCCTTCCAGAAAAATCTGAGGAACGCGCTTGCGACGAGCGGCCAGAAGAGGCAGACTGAAAGGAAGCCCTTGGAGACTTGGAGGTGCGCGCCTGCAACATCAACGAATGCGGCGCCTACTCCTCGAGGCCCCAAGGAACTGACTTGAAGCTTGAAGAAAGATGGCGGATTGAAGCAGCGATTCTAAGGTTTCAGCCGTGTTTTCACGCTCCTACTGAGCCTTCTGCCTTCGCTCTCAGGCTGGATCTGGTGATCGGAGGCCTGCCAGAGGTTCGCCCGGCGGTGTTATAAGAGCCGCTGTCCACTTTGGAGAGCTTTTGGCTGTTGGTGCAACATTTGACATAGCATATTGTCCTCTAGTTACTCTAGTTGGACTGCTTCAGGTAAGTGAGGATCAGGATGATGTTCCACTTAGATGAGAAATGCCGTCTATGTATATGTTCTTGAGCATTACCATTAGTATTGTTTGATAAAGCCTATAATCTTGTCTTGTCTAATCTTGTATAAACATAGAACGTTCGCCGAAGAAGAGCCAGACAAAGCACCCAGTACACGACATGAGACATTTGATGACGTTAGAGGAGAGTTAGCAGAATCCGAAACTGTCTTATCGGATACTCAGGATGTTTGACGTGCTTCTGAAAATCCAGAAAGGTTACATCGGCATGCATCTTTGGCCAACTTACGACAAAGCACGGACGCTAACAAGCACGTAAAGGACGTCATGACTGTGTCCGCATGTTTAATAATAGTTGAAGCAGTGCCCCCAGTGCTCAAATACGTGAGATGGCGGCAAAATAGAGCTCATAGTTATAGCACTCTCCATGACTCCAATAAAAGAGTCGAAGATTCTTGGAGCAAGTTTAGGAGCAACAGGTTGGGCAAGGGTTGTCAGCATTTCTGATGATGCGCCCGCAACCGTTGATGGATAAGTTAGGGACGCTGTATGCAGACATTGTGTTGAAGGAGTAGGCAGTTTACCACTTGCCACTGACCAGCTTTCAGAACAACTGACTCGTCAATGACACTACCAGGGCTTGAACCTAAAGTAAGGCAAAACATCATAGGAGCAACTGGCGAAGAAGCTCCAAGGCAAGAAAGTAAATGAGATTAGGGCCCAGAAGACGGGTAATTAGACAGAAGATGTTAAGTTTTAACTTAGCAGCTAGTTGTGAGTAGATACAGCGGACACATTCTGTCCGGAAAATGTACTCTTTGACAACCTCGCATCGCAGCTAAATAGCGGAGGCGGAGGCTCCTATGTTTCCAATAGGAGCAGTCTTTGCGGTTCAGGTTTGATTAACACCTGAACGGAAAGTTGGGACCACGTCCAGTATGTAGAATGTGTGATATGGCTGGCAACCAAGTTCAGGAAGACTGACAATTACAACCGTGTTCATCCGATGCTTGCCAAGTTCCTCTACATTAGAGCGAGAGGACGAGGCAAATCAAGGCATCCCTTGTCAATTGGATGATGAAGCCCAAATATTGCTAAATAGTATGACTACCCTATTGAGTTCTGACGTGAATGCCAGATATTGTGACGGCGTCACACATCAACTGACTGTCGGGCTTAGGCAGTTGTGTGACGGCCCTTTCTCACAGTTTATGTTTCTGTCGCTAGAGTCTGCGAAAGCCTGGCAATCGAACTCGCAAAGCTGGACCTTGGTTGTGCGGAAAAAACCCGGATGGCTACGATTGATACACCGACATAAATGTACCACGTACTCGTCGTTCTATTTGGAAGCTTGTTGGTTCCTTGGTCACAACACTAACACCAATGCAATCAACATAATCAAACATCCAAAATTTTGAGAATTTTGGCCACCGAGCTGCTTGAATTTGTGTGTTTTGCTTTCGGCATTTCGATGTTTGGTACATTTCAGGCAAGGAAAGTGATGGAAAGCTTGGACTTTTTGAGCATGACAGTGTTTTGTGCACTCCTATCCGCAATATGTACAACACATACACACATTAATTAAACACTGCATTATCTGTCTGTCTGTCTGTCTGTCAGTCTGTCTATCTACCTACCTATCCATCCATCCATCCATCTGTCTATCTATCTATGCTGCCTCAGTCACGGCTAGGCCCCGTCAGCGCCCTTCATGGTCTCGTCCACCGGAACGGAACTGACCTTGGGCTGGGACTACGTGGGCAAGGACCGCGTAGTCCCGAGCTGAACACTTCAGCTGTGGAGGGCCAGGGACGGCAACACAGCACTAGCTGGAAGCCTTTGCCTGTGGCGTCAGGACAACGGCGGCGTGCCTCTGGCACAGCCAGCGGCTTAGAGAGCGCTTGCAGAAACGTAGAGGACTCCAAACCGAGTGGCCCTCAGTTACAACGTGAAAGTCTCCTCGGACGGTGGCAGCACCTACACCGCTGCAGGCAGAGTGCAGACTGAAGGCAGTTAAGGTGGCAAGTTCTTGAAATCTACGGCCCTTGCAGGCAGTACGGCAGATGCCTCGGTGTTCACGTTCACCTACACCTGCGGTGCCAGCCAGCTGTGATGCCGGCATGCTTGAGTGCATGGATAATTGCAGGTCACTCGTCACCGCTCCTCCTGGGAGGTTCTTCTTCAAGGTATCAGCTGTCAACGGTGTTGGTACTGGTGAGGGTGTCGGAGACCCAGTGCTCTGTTCGCAGCACGAGTGAATATCGGTTCAAACATGCGCGACGATTCGACCAAGGCCGATTCCGACCCCGTGGGTCTCTACTGCGTTCCGCCTCCCGATACGCCAACGGCGCGCTTTGGGGGGGAGGGGGGGGTCGGTGGGCATATAATATCATGATATATATATATATATATCATGATAATGTCATGGTGCTGTGTATCTCTGCAGCGCTCTTAGCGCTGGCCGCGGGCCGAAGGCACCTGGCCTGACCAGCACGGCCTCCACCTTGACGATCGCTCTGTGCCTTGGAAGCAGGCTCTAACGGGCTTTATAGAGCTGACTTAGGATATCCTAGCGTGCCATTTAGGGCTTTCAGGTGTTAGGGATAGGACTGTCAGGCTCTACAGGGCTTTTCGGGTCAGGAGACTCGGTCCTCAGGTATCAGCCAACAGCGGGGCAGCTCAACAACGCGCAGCACACCGGGTGGCGCATTTTGGCCACGGCGCTCAGCCGTCCAGTTGGTACATCCGCTCATCAGGGGGGTGAACACCTCAGCAGGGTTCTTCAGGTTTTGCCTTAACCCTGAAACCTGAAGCCTCGGGCGACCCTAAACAACCCCATGTCTGAGTTCGCGATGCAACAGCGAGGTGGATGATGTCAATGATGCGGACAACATCTACGACGAACTGGAGGTAGCTGACACGCCCTTCGCCCAGTCCTTCTCCGGAGCCGGGCTGTGAGCGTCCTGAAGCCATCAAGTGGGGTGCACTGTAATGCCACCCTAGTCACCAGTCATTGCGCTTTGCAAGGCTCCGAAATCAGCTCGCAGCGAAGTACGCACATGCGTAATGTACTTTTGTACATCAAGACAACAACGCATCCATAAGTATATGAACCAGACAGAAATCACATACCTATATATGGGGGGGGGGGGTTGATGAATCCGACAGGCACAGGAGTAGAAGCATCTCAGGGACAAGTAGGGCCTCTCAGGACGATTCTGTCCTACACCATCACCACGGGCATCACCACCGGGCACTACTACCGAGCGAAGCTGAAGCTCTGCTCAGTCGCCTGGACCTCAGGAACGGAAGGCTTCGTGAGTTTGAAGCCAAGAAATCACCCAACCAAGTACGTACCAGTATGATAGTCTAGATGGTTATGAGCTGGTCTCATATCACCTCATACCGTATCATGTCTCCATATAGACATGCAAATGTGCAGACTCATGCGCATAGCATAAACATGCATGCGCTGCTTTACCTGACCTTGGTTGCCCTGCCTTAGGTGGACCTGCGTTACATTGCCTTACATTGCCTTACATGTTGCGCTACTGCACCACCCTGCCCGCCCCGCCCTGCCCTACCTGGCATGGCACGGCATGACGTGACATGGCATGACGTTCATTGCAATACATTGCATTCGCTTACCCACAGTATCTTACCTTACATTACATCACACTACATTCTCGCGACTTTCATACATCCGCAGGTGCGACAAACACCTGTACATGCATGTGTGTCTGTGTGTGTGTGTTTTTTGATCTATGTATGTTTATGTCTGTGTATGTATAGATATGCATATAAATGTGCACACATATGCACGCAGATGCTCGCAGGTGTGCCCGCATGCATATACATGTCTGATGCCCCGTGCTTCAACATCGATTATGTCTCCAGGCGCACTGCAGCGCCGAGTCGGACGTTGGCGGCCCCGTCGTTGCAGCCTCGCCGCCCGATGCTCCTGCGAGCGCCTCAGAGGGACACGTGTTTGGGGACACAATATTATATATACATATATGTACCTTTTCTAGCTAGGCAAGTCTACATAAACTATATGTATTGTTACATAGAATGAATGAGCCTCAACCCCGCCAAATGAAGGAGTGCTTCAGGTTGTCGGGGCGCTGCTGCAGCTCCACTTCAGTCTAAGCTGGCGGAGCAGTTCGCTTAGATGGTGCATGAGTTTCAGGGGGTTGGAGGCAGGGAGAGTCTTCGCCCTGTTGACCCACAGCCCTCCATCCCGTTGAACCGTATGCCGGAACCCTCAAACATCACCCTGCAGCCTGTAGCCATAGATATCTTGGATTCAGAACTCCTTCATAAACCCTAGAGATCCAAACGAAGCCTTCTTTGTCGTGTCTTTGCCCTCTCAGGCGCCAGTCTACGTTCTCTCGTCAGGGCCCTGACAGGATTAAGGGTCCCTGTCCTGGGGTTCTCAGAGTTCTTGGTTGTTCGGGTCTTCAGGGAGTTGGACAAGGTTCTGGGCGTTCGAGTTTTTTGGGAGGGTGCTTAAGGCTTTGGAGGGTTTTTGATGATTTAGGTTTGCAGGATTTGAGGATCTTAGCATCTCGAGGAGCACAGCATTGGAAGCGAACCCATGCGTTGCATGCTTGTGACCCCAGGTCAACAAGCAACAGCATCACCTTCACTTGGGAGTGCGCAGCTCGGCCATGGGCTGCAGTGCTGCATGTGAGGTGATGAAGTTCTGCAGGGGTTCAGGCTCAGCTCTCTTGGAATTGCTCCAGCCGCCGCCTCCGGACAGTAGCGTTCTACGGCCCAAACCGCCTTGCGGACCCGCCAGCCGCCCGATGGCACGACGAGGCCGCCGCCCCAGGGCCCTTGCTCCAAAGACTCTGCTGTCGCTGTGGAAAGGCGGCCTCTTGAGCCTGGCGCTCCTTGGAGTCGCCGGAGCCCCGCTCCTCGCGCCCTTCGCTGTCGCTTTCGAAGTGTCGCTTCGGAGGTCGGGTGCCTCTTCTGCAGCCTGGCGCAGAATGCCTTCCTGTCGGCAGTCGGCAGGCAGCCCGTGTCCCAGCCGAGTGCTGAAGATGGAACAAAGTGGCTGAAAGCGAGCGCGAGTCATCTGAAGGAGTAAACACACCTGCCCAGACTGGCAAGGGAGTTGACACTGGGGACAGGTCCTAAACACCTGTATCTGCAATGTCGGGCGGTACCTCGGTAGTGCCTCTCCCAGCCCAGCTTTGCAGCCTCTGTAAACAAGGAGTTGTCGTGCATAGATGCCCGTCAGGAAATCCAACACACTGAACTCAGTTCATCGCTCTTAGAAACAGGGGACATGAAAGGGCGAATCGAATCCGTTCCACCAGGACCGCGTCGCCAGCCTGAGCATTCAATGTCGTGGTACTGCCTGGTTTTTACGAGCTTCAACTTGCTGCGTTTCGCAGTCCATGAAGTGGCGGATCGGATCGCCAAGGCCCGAGGCTGCGATGAGCCGGCGGCAGATGCTGGCGGCATCTGGCCTCGCAGGCGCATCACACATACCACTGCCACGTTTTTGTCAGAGTCTGCAGGCGTTCCCGTCCCCGACCAGGTCTAGGCGGCTTTGCGCAGAGCGCCTCGGCCGATGTCTTCGGCGCGGGGCGCCCAGCGACAGTCCTGAACCCCAGAAGCGACTTGTGAGCGAGAGTGCTCATGAAAGTCTTTGAGTGCCAAGTGCCCGTGCATGGGTGTGTCACACGGTGTGTGTGTGTGTGTGTGGTAAAGCCGTGAACCAGCTCCCCATGCCTGCACGCCTCGATGTAATTGCGGACACCCGAAACTTACTCCAAGTCCAAGTGTCCTACATCCTCGGAGGACGTGGCACCGAAGAGGATGCCCTTCAGGGGCGATATGAGCACTCCGCAAGCGCAGCAGGACGCTAAAGGGAGGGAGCAGATCACTTCATCGGTTTTCACACGCTGAGATTCGAAGGTTACACAAGATTGATTCAGTGAAGTTCGAGGCTGTCAAAATTTCGGTTTGATGTGGATTCCGGGTTCGAGGTGGAAGGTGTGCGAAACACAGGCACGAAAGACAACCCATCGCAAACTTAATTCTCATGTGTACTTTGGAGTAGCTAAGCTTACCTGCTTGCAGACACTGCGAAGCAGCGCCTGATGACAGACCCAGCACCACGCGTTGCTGTGCAAACCCAGATAAAGACTCTGTGCGAGCTAGATACTTTTCAGGCGATGGTGGGCCGGAGGCTAAGCCGCCAAGCGTTCTCGACCTCACTGCTCACAGACATGTTTTCCCGCAGCATGAGAATATGAGGGAAAGCCAGAGACATCGGACCCGTCTTCAGCCAGGATGCTTGCGGCCAAGAGGGCCCCCCAAACTCGCCTTCACGGACCTTTCGCTTCGTCCGAGGGCGTCTGCTATGAGATCGACAATGCTCAAGTAGGCTCTGATCTTATTCTGCATGCTTTTCCCGTGAACGCTTCTCGTCCACAGCCCTGTCAGAGGCAAGACCATGCCCACGAAGAAGGGCGTCATTGTGTCTGTGGCCCAGAAAAAGCCGGCTGTCAGAAGCATCGTTTTGTACGCACTGGGCATGAAATCCTCGCAGATGTCGACTTAAGTATCATCTGCTGCAACACTCTCTGTGGGTGTGAGGTACGACCCGGATGCGCCGTGCGGCGCAGGGAAGCCCGGGCCTGAAAAAGGGAGGGTAAGGGGGCAGAAAGGCTTTCAACAGAAACTCCCGGGTCTCTCTTGGCAGGGCTTTCGTCCATGCTTCTGGCAACGGGAACTTCGAGCCAATGACTGCCGGACACTCTGGGCACTCTGCCCTTGTCTGCTCTGACGCCTTGTCTGGCTTGTCTCAGGCCGGGGGCGGGCCGGGCAAGCCGCGGGCTCAGCGCACGAAAGCGAAAACGGGTCCTGGGGCTTGCCAAATAGGCACAAGTACTACGCCGCAATCTTCGACCCGGAGGCTTGCTAGCGGTCCGCTGCGCCGTCTCTCTCTCTCTCTCTCTCCACGGTTCCTTGGCTTGCAGCTGGTGACGAACTTCAAAGACAACATCGGCAAGTGTGCCAGCATCCCTCAAGGCCTCGACTTGATTTTCGAGGACATGTGAGCGAACTGTACCCTGCCCTGCACGGCTCCGGCTTCGCACCAGCTGACGGTTGCTGCTCAAAGCCAGGCGGCAACGAGACCATCAGCTTCGAGGCTCGTCCACGAATGCATCTTTTGGAAAGTCGCCATGTGTTTCGCAGAAGTTGCGTTTTGGAAGGGAGGGGATGTGGTGTCATGGGGATGGGGGTCACGCTCGGCAGATTGCGAACCTCGAGCGCGGCGGCAAGTGTGACTGATGACCCGACTCTTGAGGACTTTCGAAGGGCAAGCTTGCCTGTAGGAAACTTGACAGGAAAACCCTCCCAAGCTGCCAAGACCTCTTGAACCCCAACGACGTAAAGAGGATGAAGCCGAAAGCCTCGTCCGATTCTCTTTAGATCTTCGCAAATAATTTACCGATTTTCGCGGCACAGCCTTCAAAGGGATGAGCAACAAGTCCCGGGCTCGCCGGGTCCACTGGCAACCAAGCTTAACTGGTTACATGTGTGTAAAACAAAATATCTATCTATATATATATATATATACATATATATGTATATGCATATATGTATGTATGTTCGATTACACAAGTACTTAAGTGTTTGATCATCACGAGTACCAGGTGATTACCGGTATTATTGATTTCACGATTGCTCAGAAAGCTATCAAGTCCGTGGACACGGTGCTTTCAGCGACCTGGTCAGCGCCAAGTAGTCGCAGCATTCCGGCGCGGCATCCGGGATGGCCGAAAAGGCATGTCGCATAGCGCCACTGCATTGATCTTCCTTTCCATCTCCAGATGCTCAAGGTTTCCTGGGTCCAATGGCGGAGCTGTCATCGAAGGCCAGCCATCTGTACTCTGTCGCATGCAGGAGGAGGATTGCAGTTTAGAGTAATCTCAGGCTGGTACATCTACGTTTCCAGCGATGGGGAAACTTGGCCCGACGTCTCGAACCCTGACGACGGGATCGCGGATGTAAACAACCGGGAGCCAGGGGCTCGGAGCATCTTCGGTATGGGCATGAAGGTATGTCGTGTGTGTGGTGCATATATCATATATGTGTACCATACATACATACATACATACATACATACATACATATATATATATATGTGTACGCACAAAATTATCTCTCTCTCTCTCTCTTCATATATATATATACACAGTTACATGCACACATACAAAAGCACATGCACATACAGTCACACACAGATATACATATGCATGCTCACAAGCGCGCACACACATGCACTCACAGACAAACTCTCACATAGACGTACAAAACATACATGACATATATAGTCACATGCAAAAACGACTTTTCATCTACGTGCGCACGAATGCATGCTGGACGCACACACATGCGCCTTTGCGCACATTATATGCATGCATGCTATACAAATCTCTACTCGTAGGGCCCAATATACAATATCCAGTATATAATATGTAAGACAATATGTACTTGTTCTATAAGATATTGTAATACACCAGCAGACACTATTCGCACATGCATGTATGCTACGTACATGCATTTAAATATTTACACATGCACATGCGAACATACGGTTGGGAAGATTTGACAGTGTGCTTGGGACCGTTCTGATCTGCGCCTGAGGTTCTACCTCGGTTGTGGAAACTGGTCGGCCAGCAACATGATGCTCTACGCGCTAGCCTTAGCTGTGGGAAGCCGATCGGAGTTCCAGGAGCCAACAGTGACCTGAGGTGAAGGTAGCTGCCTACAGCCAGGCCGGAACAGGCGCCCTCTCTGCGGGGCACCTCAGCTTCCCCCGGCAGTGCAGATTCATGCACTTTGTCGAGCCCACCTCCGAGGACACGCTGCAATACCGATGCTCGCCGCCGCCGGCCACTCCGGCCGCGCCCACACTGGTGGATTCCAATGCTGACAACATCACCATCGCCTGGTCGGGTCCTTGCAGAGTGACTGTGGTTTTCAGGTTTTTTTGCGTCTCGGGTGCATGTACAGTCTGCATTCATTTCCTGCAAGGACGGTGCCGACCAGCACGGACTTGGCCCAGTCTCTGCACCTGGGTACCAAGGCACGCCTGCAATCGCTTGTTGCGCCTTGCTTCCATGGCAGTCAGATTCAACGATTCCCGAGCGCGGACATGTTGGCATTCGCAGTAGGATTCGTTGCAATATGATGTAAGTTGCAACTGCTGCTCTTGTACGTGTTTCGGAGGTGCAGTACGACGATGGTGCCGCCGGACCCTACACGACCGTCTCGCTCACGGACACGTTGCAGGCAAGAAAACAGTAGCAGAAGCAAGCGGAGCAGCATACCGACCGTCGAGGTGCAGTACACGCTAACGGGGCTGTCTGCAGGCTTGACGTACAGGCCTGGCCTGTCTCCTTTCCGACCATAGGACGAGCCCATAGCCTCGTTTGGCAAGGTTCCGTATCCAGACGGTTTCGGAAACCGGGACCAGCGAGGCCTCCACGGCCTTGTCCCAACCTCAGAAGCTAAGCGCACCTTCTTGCTGGGTTGCCTTTCGGTCTAAGCTTGTGCCAGGTCCGTCGTGGCGGCCTCCGTGCCGGATGCTCCCGTGGTCTCGATCGCAAGGCGCCCAGCGTTGAAGGGACGGAAGGCCGACGGCCCCACCGGCGTCAGAGGAAACCATGAGATTCGACTCACCTTTTCGGGCCGAGGTCTCGACGTCGGATACCACGCTGGAGTACTCGGCAGTGCTGTCGGGCTCTACAGGCGATGGCTTCCTACGGTAGACGCCGTAGACAGCGTTCCTTCAAGCTTTCTGTGCTTCAAGGGGCATGGTCTCAGGAGTTGAGCTGTTGCAGAGCCTTAAGTTCTCGGTGGTAAGCGGTAAGCTCCCCCTCTCTCTCTCTCTGTGTCTGTCTGTCTCTCTCCGCGCATTTTTCATACATAGACATACATGTACAGAGAGATATGCTGTAGTCGAGCTATTTCGGCAGCAGTTGAGTTGTGAGGTGGGTCGCCCATTACGGAGTGGCGGGTTTACATCTCCATCGACGGCGTCACGTACGCGATCAATCCCAACATCCCCACGGCCGGCTCTTCGGAGGCTTCCGCTCTGACGCTTCCGCTCGCTTTCACAAAAGCCGAGGCCACCTTGGCCGCGGCCTTCACGAGCTACTCCTTCGACTGCGTGAACACTTTCCCCGGAGATTACAGTCAGCAGTGTGTTTCTCAGGTGGAGAGCCTCTTGGGCACAGCTATAAAAACCTTGTGTTGACAAGGTACATCTGGCTCATCATGTCCGCCGTGAGCAACGCCGGGGAGGGCGCCTTCTCCACCCCTCTGCAGCAGCGCTGCTCTGCCGTCCCCTGCCCAGCCCTAGGAAACGCCCCGTAGTTTCAAGAGACGGGAGCCCCTGTCTCTCTCGCTCTCTCTGGCAGGTCCCGGGCACCCCAGCGGCTCCGGGGCTGGTGTTGGGCCCAGTCCGGCAGAGGCACAGAGAGCGCCGCCTTTTTTGGGGGCACGGAGGTTGAGGCCGAGGCTCTGCACAGACTTCCAGACGTTGGGCTCAGGTCTCCTCCTCGGCGAACGCCATCACCCTCAGCTTCGACACCAACGGCGCCCGACCCGAGAGAGACGAGAGAGAGACTGAGAGAGACTGAGAGAGGCTGAGAGGATGCCTTGCCTTCGCTCCTCTGGGCCTTGGCCCTGAGCTGAGGACTGAGCGGGGCCTTCCTGACGGGCTTCAAGGCCGGGTACACCCGGCCCCTTTCCTGCTGGCGCTCTTCCTGTCTACTCCTGTCTGCTCCTCTCCCTGAGATTGTAGTGCGGTTCTGTAAGATCAGAGTGCAGATGAGAGCCACTGGTGCCGCTTGCCGTCAGATCTACACGGACGATGGCAACGGTGGGCCTTGGTCCATGGACCTCGTGACGGACACCACGCAGAGGACCTTCACGAAGCGCGGGGCCCGGAATAAAGCCACGGCCGCCCGCAGCGCGCGGCTTGGCCCTGGAGAGCTCTGAGTCCCAAGGTCGGGGCTCAACGCCGGGTTGAACTATCGCTTCAAGGTGGAGGCGCACCTCCGATCACCTCAGAGACTTATGCCACCCTCCCACCCTCCCAGGCAGCACTTGGCAGGTGGTCTCCGAAGTCGGCACCAGCGCTTCCTCGCCTGTGGCCACCTACGTCTCAGCCGCCCCTTGGCCGCTCTCGACTCTCAACCTCAGCTCTTTGCCTTCGGCGGCTTCGAACGGCTGAGGCCGTCCCCGATGCACCGAACTCACTGTCGGCAACCTCCACCAACAGCGACATTGACTTGACCTGGGTGGCAGGTGCAGACCTTACTTCCCGTGATCCTGTGACTCCTGGGGTCAAGCAATTTCTCTGAGGTGGTGATGGCGGTTCGGCCATCACTCGCTGGCACGTCTTCACCTCCAAGGCGTGCCTGAAATTTTGAAACGTACTGGTTGTCGCGCTTTGGTGCGGGCAGGACGGAGCCACTTGGTCGGCGCTCGACAGTCCACAGCGCCCCGGGAACCATCGCAGACCATTGCAGATGCTCTTCTCAAAGCACGAGCCTCTGGCCTCCGAGGTACACGATCATCACCCCCACCACAACGACTCAAACCGTCGACTGCCACCTGCCTACCGGGCCCGAAAGGGAGCCTGTGGTGCACTTCGGAGAGCGTCTTGCGCCGAGGCACGGATACCTTCAAATGGGGAGGCTCCGATGCCGGGCGCCCACTGTCAGGTCGTTGACGGAGATGGGAGGGCTGGACAAAAGCTAATTGAGGTGTCACAAACCTACGTGTACTTGAGGGCCGGCTGCTTGGAAAGATTTCTGAACGCGCCACCCTTCTAGCTTGACTCTCGTTGGCAGGTGTCGGCTGTCAACGGAGCGGGCATCGGAACTGCGTCCAACTCGTTCCGATGGCGCTGCTCCGCCAAGCCGGGAACGCCTGCAATCCCTGCCAAGGCCGAGCCGAAGGGCCGAAGGTTTCCTTGGAGGAGCCTGCCTGCCAGGTGAGTGGCACCACCAACACCATGACGATCTCGTCGAGACCCCGGCTTCAAAGCCCGACTAAAGCATCGATGCCGAGCGCCTCGCTGCTAGCTCCAGGTTCGCCCCCAACGGCTTGAACGAAGCAGTGCTCTATGGGTGCCCGGGCGGCACTCCATGCGGGGCTGCAGGTTACACTTGCGGAGCGAGTTGTAACAGTGACAAAACTCTTCTCAAGCTGGCAGCACGAAGGCTGCTGCTACAGCTGTGAAAGGTACAAGCTGTATTACGACGACGGCTTAAGCGGCCCCTACACGGAGGCGGCCATTGAGTAATCGATGGGCGGTTTCGCAGAATGAAGGTGATGCCTAAAATCAGGTCTACGTGAGCTCGGGGGCCACGTCGCAGTACACCTTCACGGGCCTGACGCCTGCATTGCCGTACCGCTTCTACCTGAAGGTGCGCCAGAACAAGGAGAAGTCTCGACTCTCTTGAAGATGTCACGCCATCTGACGTCAGTTCTAGCAGCTCCAGAGAGCCATGCTTCGCTCAGGTGGTCTCCGAGGTGGGGGACAGCGATGCATCGCCGGTGCTCACGGCCGTTGCGGGCGCCCCTCCCAGCGGTACGCTGCTCTCTGCTGACACAATCCCAGCGCCCACGGAAGCATGCTTCTTTCTAGTCATTTTTAGTCTCTCTTCAGAAGCACGTATTTCTCCGGGTTCGCGAGCCTTGCACTGCAGCCTCCAAGGGTGCCCACAGCTGCAGTTGAAGAGGCTGACAGGTTCACGGCGTTTGAGCGTTTCGGACCCGAGCCGAACCCTGAGCCCCTAATTACAAGCATCCCAGAGCATCCCAAAGCACAGCCGGCGGCCCATGGTGCGGCAAAGCATTCCGCTCGATGGTGTCGCTGGCCTTCCGCAAGTGGTGCCCTGCGATACCGTTGAAGCATGTGGATGGATGTGAATGTGGTATTTGGAGTGTCGTTTTCAGTCATGAGTTGGATTGCCGCCCACCAGGTACCAGGCGCTGGCCACGGAAGATGCCGCACAGAGCGAGCGACGACTTGCGCAGAGGCCGGGCACGCAACAGAGGAACCGGCTCCAGTTCAGCTACCTTGCGTAAACTCCATAAACCTTTTCAGCTTCGGCAGACAGATAGACAGGTGGATGGATATAGATACTGTAGTGATGCAGTTTGATAGTTACACATGTAATTAAGTCGCATATTCATGTAGGCAATTTTTTGATGAGTATACAATAAACAATGCTTATGCATAGATGATGATCCACCGGATGGACACTCTTTGTTGGAAGCTTGGCCTGTCAGGGTACGTGCGGCACAGATCTGGACCTGGCTCTTGAGCGTCCGGCGGGTGCTCGGAAAGAGCTCTTTGCCCTGCATGCCTCGCACTTAGAAGAAGGGATTCAATTTGGGTGGGGTTGGCAGGGTCTTGCAGAATGTGCAAGGGTTTACAGGTTGCTTTTTTGCGGAGTCGGGGCTTCCCATTGCAGGGTTTTGTGGTTCCACGCCGCCGAGGCCGTACGATGCCCAGCAACTGCTTCTGCAGGCCATTCCGAGCGTTGCACAAAAGCTTGAACCAACGTGGCTCCTTGATAGATCGCCTCCAGTCAGTAGTTCCCTGTCCAGTTCCTGGCGGGCGACGTCTTGCCGAAGCCGCGGCCTCAGCCGAGATCAGTTCGACTGACTTGCGAGACTCCGTCATGAAGTCTACCAGACTTTTCCACGCAACCACCAAGTAGTGTATAATCGAATTCAACAGAAGATATGTATATCGTACTCGTTTCCGTAAGGGTACATATGTCCCAACAGTGGGAAACTCCAGCAAGCTTCACCCATTTCGCACTTACATAGTGCAAAAACAGAGCCCCCGAGAAATGCTGCAGAGAGCCTACTAAACGTGTCTTGATCCAGACACGTCCTTTGCTTTGGAATCCGCAGGCCGGTCTGCGCTGCTAGGCTTCGGCGCATCGCCGAGTCCACCCGGCAGGAGTGGCAGCGGGAGTTGCAGCCCTGAGCTGGGCTACCTTCACACATGCGTCAGTCCGGGCATACGTGCATAGTCAGGTATGTATGTCTGCATGCATGCATGCATTCATGCAAATATGCATGCATGTATGTATACAAATAAATATGTGTATCTATTTACATATATCTATATGTGCTTGTGCTGCATATATATATATAACTATAACATACACAGAACCTCTCCCTATCCCTCTCTCACTGTCTCTCGCAACATTTATCAAGTATCATTATACACATGTTGTGATGTAGCTGTAGATGGTTTTCATTTCTACACGCTGACACGTCAAGTGACTGTTTGAATTGCGTTTCCAAGGAGACGGAAGCCAAGGTGCGGATGGCCTTAGACGCCCCTGGTCCGCAGTTGTATGCTGGAATGGGATTCAAGCAGCAGGTCAGTTTCAGACCGCATTCAAGTGTGTTTGTTCGTTTGTCTATGTGTGTGTGTGTGTGTCTTCTTGTATCGCATGCCCGCAGCCAAGGTTGTTGTGTCTTTTGATAATGTCCGCCCTTGAGCCTCTGAACGACTCTGAACCGTCGGGAAGCACCCTACACGCGCCCCAGAGGTCCTTCGTGTTCAAGCCAGACTAGAGCCCCGAATCCCAAAAGCCCTAAACTCCAAAGCTGGAGACCATACCCTGAAAACGGACACCGCGGCACTCAGGAACTGCTGCAGAACATCATCCTTCCTCTGGCGGAAGCAGCTGCGCACAACTGCAAGCTGAAGTGCCAGGCCGGGATGGGGCCCCCCTGGGTCCAATGAAGCCAATGAAGCCGCCAAGCCCGACTCCAGCGGAGGCCTTCCTGGACGGAGAGCCCAAGGATGGCGCGGTGCGGAGGCGCAGCCAAGGGCGAAGCGGGTTCCCGACGGTCTCGGTTTCTTGCGCTGGGCTCCGCCTTTCGTAGAGGCTCTACGGCGCCATGATCATGCTGAACCGGGACCCGGCGAAAGCCCTGAAAGAGGCCCTCGAACTCCGAGGCTCAGATGCCGTGGCAGCTTTTTGTGGATTTATTGGAGCGTTGGATGCAGCTCGGCAGCTCGCATTGCAGGCTTCAGCAACTGCACGGTCTCCGACCTGAAGCTGTGGCCCTCCCGGGTCTGCGTGGTCATCAACTGGTAAGTTCCAGCCGCTCCGAATCGGAGCCAAAGTTCGCTGCAGCCAAAAGCAACGAGGATGCAAAGAGCTCGCCGAGGGCTTGGAAGGTATCCGCTGGGTGTCCGACCGACTCGGTTGCGTTGTGGCTCAGAGTGCTGGCCTCATGCATTAATCCCCAGCCGGGCCATCCAGCGATGATGAAAGCGCAGCAGGAGCAAGATGCGGGCAGAGCTTAGACAAGAGTAAGATTCTCGCCTGTGTCGATCGTCCCAGTGTTTCTTCACCTTGCGATCGCCTTTGCAATGGCAAAGCGTGGCCGGCATCTCAGCACACTTCCGAAAGCACCCTTTATTTCCGGCAGTGGAAGTGGTGCAGGGAAATCCGGTGGCGCCGGCGTGAGCCTCATGAACCAAAGCAAGAAGCCGCTCCCCGAGACCGTTCCGTGGCCCCGGCAGCCAATGTCGACATGGGGTCTTGAGACGCGGTCGTCAGGCTGAAGCACAAGAAGAAGAACAGGCCAGGGAGGGGGGGGGGGGAGTCTGAGTCTGAGCCCTTTGAAAAGGGGGCCAGTCCGGGGGGCCTCTCCTCCTTCACAGGAGTGCTCGATACCAAGAGAAGCAAGCGGCTTCCCGGCCGAAGGAAGGCGCAGCCAAGGCTGACGTCCCTCCAGACACTTCCTGCAGGCGCGAGCAAACGTCTGCCCTCTGTGAGGCGAAAGGAAAGACCAAAGCGGGGCCAAAGAAGTCACCGAAGACCAAGCCCGGGGGAGCGGGGGGTGAAGAAGGGTCCTGAACGGACCGGATTCCGACGAGTGCGGATCCCGCTGTCGGAGGTCCAAAAGCTCGCCCAAAGCCTCGCCGAAGGCCTCACCCAAGGCGCTACGAAGCTGTTTGCTTGTGACGCTTTCTGTCGTGAGATGCCGTTGCCTTCCGAGTCTCCGTGCTTCCGTTCCGGCAGGTGGCACCTGCTGCAATGCAGGTGGACTCCTAGTGATCTCCTCCAGGTCTCACCAGCCACGAGCATCTCACGACGCACGTCGCCAGAAAAAAGGACGAACTCCCGTGCGGCACGCAGAAAGACATAGCTCGACGCAGATGGGAGATGCCTTGCCCAGGTGCCGATGCCGATGCGCCCTCGGCACCTTACTACGTCTCTTCCCAGAACAACAACGAACTCACCGTCGCTGCCTTATAGGATCGCAGAGCCTCTAAAGAGCTCCTTCGCACCTGGTTCGGTCTCAGGTTGGCTGGACCTTCTCAGGCGAGCGAGTGGGGGAAAAGGGCTCTCGCACGGCTCTCGGCCCTGGCGTGCGCCTTTGCCCGCTTTCAGGATCGGACGGCGGCTCGTCGATCACTAACTGGTGGGGCACTCATCCTCCCATTTCAAACGTGCTCCCCCCCCCCCTGGCTGGGGCGCTAGGCCGCTAGGCTAGGCTTGGCTAGGGTAGGCTAACCGCATCGGAAGGAACATCTACTACGCCCTGGGCTTTGCAGCTTCGAACTGGCCTGCAGCCAGCTCGCCGGATGCGACGACGACCGTGGGCTGCTGCCTAAGCTCACAGCGGCCACAGCGCCCTCCTAGCACTGGCAGACACGTCTCTGTGAAGGCACGGAGCAGGTTGTGGTGGATTGCACCAGCATCAGTGGCCACGGGCTAAAGCGAGCTGCCTCAAAGAAAAGCCGAAGCACAGCGCTGTGCATGAGGCCAAGATCGGTCCCAGAACTTTGTGTACATCCGGGCCGGAGCCACAAATGTCACAAATGCTTTCCATTTAGACTTCGATGTATTTCGGGAGGCAAGTCATGGCATGGGAGTCTGCTACTGTATGGTTGCTCTGCCCAAAATGCAAGCAGAAGGTTGCAGCAGTGACCGGTGTGGGCGTTGGCCAGTGCGCTTAGCTGCGGGATCCCATCCATGTTTCGGGCAAGATTTCCGGGCCATGGAAGGTAGCTGGTAACCAATCTACATCATGCTCGCAAAAGCACCGCACCGTTTCCAGAGGAGTGGCTTTGACAGGTACTCTCCCATCAGCCGCCTGTTCTGCGCGAACAAGCCCGCTGCACCAACGGTGCAGGGTCCTCGACACCACCGAGCTTTTTCATTCTCACAGTCCGAGTCCGGAAGCTACCTCTGTATGCAGAATACTGTAAACCAGTGTTTCGAACTTATGATGCAACTCGGCAAATAGGAGAACTCGAGCTGGTCCTAAAGCCTGTCTTGGACTCGAGGACCAACGGCTATTCTGGCTCTTCGAACGCGGCCTGGGCCCCTGCGAGCTCCCATGGGTTCACAAGAGGCCCCTTGGCACTGAGACGGAGTTCAGGTGACGGTGAACTTCGCAGAGGGCTTGCTCCTCAGAAGGTTTCTCGGCGCCGTTTGTTTTTGTCTGTTGTGGCTTCTTTGAGGTTCGCTGAATGGTGCTGAGCTCTTGGCCTTCAAGGCCCGGAGCAGCACCTCCAAAAGCGAAGGGGTCTCTACAGTGGGGACTAGGGGGTCCAGCCTGGCAGATCTACATGGATGACGGTCTCGGCGGCGCTGTGGCCCTGCGTGACACGGTTGCGGACACGATGGGGCCCCGGTCACTTCTTGCCACGCGACCCGTGACGGACGTGACGGAAGAGGCGCAGGGCGCTAGCTGCTGACAGGTCTTCGCGGTCCTACACCGCAACGGGTCTGACCGCGAATTCCGTGTACGTCGTGCAGGCACGGGGCTGAAAGAGCAGCAGGAATCAGGAAGACTTGGACTTGCCGGGGCTTGCCGCGTGTGTGACAGGTCAGTGTGGTGACCACCACGGCCGAGTCGGATCTCTCCACAGCTTTGACACTGCGATCCTGCCCACTGCCGGACACCCCAACTGCACCCGCCGGATCCCAAAAGGAAACTGCTGAGCTGCCCCGAGTGAGTGAGTGAGTGCCTGCGCTGCACCGAGTCCCGAAAAGCTTCGACTGCGACCACGATCACGCTGGAGTGGACGGCGCCGGCTGACAATGGCTGCCCAATCACAGGGTGCCCTGGCAGTCTGGAGATGTCTGGAGTCTGGGCAGGGAACATGTCGAGCAACATGAAAAGTCCAGTTGATTGCCGCGACGTTATCACTGGTGGTAGGCTTCGAGCAGGCTTGCAATGTCATCCATGTCTCCAAGAAGTGGAGACATTTCAGGAGTGGGACGGAGCATCCGCCCGAGCCGACCTAATCACCAGCTCCTCTATAATTCCCCCCTCCGGCTCCCAAGCATTGGAAAGGACCGAAACTGGGCCCGGCTGGTCCAACTGGTCTCCCTGTCTCTGCGTCTCTTTCTCTCTCTCGCTCTCTCCGTCCCTCTACATTCTGTTTCGCCGCGAGTTGTTGACTTCGATGCGGAGATTAGAGATTCACTGAAGGTATCGTGTCTACATCGACACAAACCTGGATGGTACATCAGACGGTGAGATCTATCCAGGCTTTGGACGGCTGACGGGCCACATGTGCACGTTGCCCAAAAGCACAACATAAGCACGAGGAGTTGGCGATGACACGGATCCTTTGGACACAAGTGTGGATCCCAGCAAGCAGCAAGCATGTCACTGGAGTCAGAGAAGCGTTTTAGATCGTTGCTGGCCCGAGATCTGGTTGCAAACGTGGTGGAGTACCAGCACACAGGCAGTCTTTGTCTTCACCCCGCTGATGCCATGACTCTGCATGACCACTTTGACGGCCTTGCCTCTGTCGAAGGTGTTTTTAATCCGGGGGTTGCACAGGCCTCTCATCTGGGACGCTCTATGCCTTCCGGGTGCGTGCCTACAACAGCGGCGGGTTCGTCGAGAGCAATTGGGTCTCCATCAAGGCACCTCAAACTCCACTTGTCGACTCCGGGTCCTCCAGTACTCAGTACTGGCCCTGGGGCCTTCGCAGGCAGCAGGCGAGCCTGCTCAAATGTCACCACCGACTCAGGACCTCAGAGCAGTTGATGTTCTTAGGGGCGTCTTACGGTAGGATAGGATGGAGTTTTGACGAGGATGCAAGCACCGGCAGCGCCACCAGCATCGTCCTGGTTCTGGGCTTAGTGGTGTTGTGCCTGCAGCTCACATGATGCCTGGCAAACCCGTCGTCGAAGGATGGTGTAGCTCCAAGCACCCGCGGGGCAGGGCTAGCAGTGCCGTGCCGCTTCGATTCGTGCTCGGATTTGACAACTCTCTCATGTCCGCCGCCTGATCCATCGCGCAAACTGTCGCAGAGCGTGTTGTGCCGGTTTGTGTTCGGAATTGACCCTCTCGGTGGACTCGGCTTGTCCGCTCCGGTGGGGAAAATCGATCGTCAATTTGAACACATTGCCCTCATGGTGGCTTCGACATGACAACCCCATCCACCAGTAGACGTCGGAGACTCGTGCCTCAGACATGCCAAGCCCTCTCACGGCGGACTTGGGTGCCCGAATGACCGCATCCTGACGGGGATCCGCAGGGCCTAGCCCAGAAGTTGAGTACCATGGCGGCACCAAGGTCTACAGCGTGCCCAGCATGGAAGGCGGCAATGCAGTTGGCTTCAAGGTCCCAGCGCTGCATGGGGCTATAGTCATCGCACTATTCCTCACTTCTTATTGTGAAGACGAAGAACGGCATAATTGCCGTGTGTGGGGGGGGCACTAGGTCTACCGCAACAACGGCGGCGCCACGGCCATGAATGGCTCACCGGAGCCTCGGAACGACCATTTGTGTTGCTTCAGCTACAGGGCTTTGACACGTAAGATCGTGATCAGGATTCGACCTGCAACAGGGACACGGTTCCTGCACCGCAGACCTGCACATTGACTGGCCTCAGCTCTGGGGACACGTGACCTTGCTGAGAATGTCGCATGTGCAAAGCCTCCCGAAAGCATTGCAGGTATGCCGTGCAGATGCTGGCCATCAACGACGTTGGGGAAGGACCCGACAGCGAATGTCTCCCAAACCGTTAGGCTCCTCTTGTCCGAAAAAAGCTTACTTCCACGCCCCAACACGTTGCCACATATGTGAGCCTTGAGTCTTGGGCATGGGCAAACCAAAGCTAGGTGATGATCATTGAGAACTCATGCTGTCGTGCTGACGCAGCGTAGCTGATTCCCTGCCGAGCCAGCTCTCTTGTGCAATTTTTTGAAGCCCAGACAACCTTCGCACATCATGCGTGCCTAATGGATCGATACAATCCGTTGCAACTGAAGACTTTCGCCTTTGCCTCTGCGGGGTGACGGCCATGCTGTGTGCCCTCCTTCAACCATGCAAGCATTCTGATAGCGCTGGAAGGGAAAATGCCATGCCAGGAGCGCTCTCGACGGTTGCCACCCTCTTCGCTGCCGCGATCCCTGCGCAGATCACAAACCTCGTGTCGAGAGCCGAGCATTGAGCCGCTCCAGAAAAGCTGAGAGCAGTGTGAGGGCGTGCCTGCGTGGAGCACTTTCCCAGGAACACAGCGGGCGCACTCACGCCATCCCTCAGCTTCACTTGGACGGCCCCCTCGGATAACGGGTCCGGGCCCCAAGCTACAAGAAGTTGTCCTGAACCGCATCTTCTCTGGCAGGGCTTTCATCTACAACTACTTGGGTGAGATGAGGGACGTCGCCGCCGACACGACGCAGGCACAGCGTGCCATGCACAGCTCGGCACAGCTCAGTTTCTGGAAGCTTGATCCGGCCGAGGCCTGGGACGCCGGAGGCACCAGCGGCTCGCCCCAGACATCGACCACTTGGACCCTCACGGGCTTGAACTTGGCTGCGCCCGGCCCTCGAGTCACAGGGAGCCATGGGGAGCCGAGAGCCTTGGCGACTTCGCCGCGGCGACTTCAGGACGAAGCAGTTCCAGTTCCGCGTGCGGGCGGTCAACAAAATGGGCAGCGGCACCTGGCGCCGGCCCCAGAACCGACCGAAGAAGAAGAGAGAAGAGAGAAGAAGAGTAGGAGGTCGAGACAGAGTGAAAAAGTGGCTGCGTGCTGCAGGTCCAGCTGGTCGTCGCTCACCGACCCTCCACGTGGCTACTGCTTGAATGCCCCCAACACGCCTGCGAACTTCGGAAGGTCGATGCAGAGAGTCCGGCAGAGGCGCAGCTTCTAAGCTCATGTCGAAACGCGAGGCATTCGGGTGTCACGGCCGTCAGCGGTGAGATCTCAATCAGCCCCGGCCTCGGGCATCCCACAGCGATGCGCCGATGCGCGGCAGGTGCGCTGTGGGGCGAGAGTCGCGTCGTAGCTTTGAGAACCAGACCAGACCCCGGCTTTTCTGAAAAAAGGAAAACTTCACAAGACTGTCGTCACAGATACCTGCTGACCCTTTACCTCAACTTTTCTACAATCCCTCTTTCAGTCCACGTTTCCTCTGCTACCGTTGACATTGAGGTTGGGATCCTTTGCTGACGGATGCTGAAGCTGGAGGAGACAACGTGGACAACATCATCTATGAGGCAAAATGGAGCCACCGCTTCGGGTTTGGCTTACAAGTGGCAGGATTGTGCGCTCGCCATATCGTACCTAGCGTCACGTGCACTTCGTACGTAAGTGTAGGTGCCGGGCAACAGTTTCGGTAGGCCAGGCGCCATTGCAGCGCATTCGTTAAACCACTGTCAGCAAAAGCCGACTGCACGGCTCAACCTGTCGCTGCTGCGAGGTTTATGCAGGAACCTCAACTGGAAGCATGACGAAGCAGACGACAGTGAACGACTACGACACGAACTTTACTCTGGTTTCGGCCTCAGTGGTCCAGCCAGCACGATCCTGTCGTTTGACATCCCCTGCTCCGTAGTTGGCTATCTTCTCTGAGGCAGTGTCGGCAGGCACCACTTACTACTTCCAAGTTCGTGCCGTGCAGCTGTCATGTTTTGCGCTCCGCTAACGGCCTGGTAACGGGGCAACGGTGAAAGCACGTGACGTTGGCGGAAGTGGCCGGCAGTAAGAACCATCATCGTCATAAGCAGCGGCACCATCCGCAACAATAGCGCTAGAAGCGACACAACGAGCGGCAGCGTCGCCAGCATCAACAGGATCGATGGGAAGGGCAGGAGCACGAACCTGGTCATCGCGAGTCAGAGTCGTCATGCTCATATCGGCACACCACAAGAACAGCAGGTCCATCACAACCATAACAAGTCATCGGCTCTTGCCATCAGCGGCGATAGGTCTTCAGTTCTTCTGAGCCACCGAGCGCCAGGTGAACGTGGCTGGCGTCGGCTCTTCCTGGGCCGGGCCGATCGAGCTGGTGAGCGCAGAGGAGCCCCCGAAAGAAGGGAATTTAGTTTGGGTCTCCGATGCTACTCGTAGAGCCCCTATATGCCGTCTTCCGCGTGTGCATCCTTTGCACAGGTTCCTGGCGAGCCGACGCTCCTCTCTTGCACAAGCACGGTGTCGGAACAGGCGAGAGAGCTCAGCAAGCATACGCCTCGCACTCCGCATGCTTCAGTCCCGAAGAGCTTTCATTATGCATGCATGCATACGTCATACGTATCTACTGTGTATATCGAAGCAAGTCCAATATTCAATATGTTGAGTGTGCACATGAGTACAGATAACTGGTTGAATTAATTAGGTTCGGTTAGAGTAGATCTCCAGTTGCCAGAAGGGTCCCGTGGCCTAGTGCTTCCTGATTCTGGCCAGAGGTACCGACAACCCGTATTGTGAAATTGAGGAGGCATTTGTGGTGGAGGTTAGAATTGGCGGGCTCATACAAAAGCGGCAGCAACTGGCGATATCGCGGAGTCATCCACAAAAATTAACAACATACGCCCTGCAGCACCAACTATTGCAGTTCCAATGCAGAGCCCGATGTCTCGAGATGTGCTTGTTCACGGAAGCGAGATGCTAACGTATGATGCGGCTCAGCGTCGGAATTGTTCGTGGTTAAATTCCGACCAAGAGCCGACAAGTAGAGAGTTGATGTTGCGACGGCGAAGTCCGTACCGCGGCGTAACACCAAAGCAAGCTGGGGGGGTACCGCCATAATCTCCCCGCCCCCTTCACGGAAGACTGACTACAGCCAGACGCCGGCAGACGTACCGCCAGACGTACCGCCAAATACCGCCTAGCACCGCCGAAACACAAGAGTCAACAGGGAAGCGTCGGCAGCTGTGTGGCACAGACCTCTCTGAGTTGCAAAGCACAAAATTGAAAGGGAGACTCTGATCAAGTAAGTCTGGAGAAAGCAAAAAGTTGATCAGATTGGATCGGAGGAGATCAGAAAGACAGATGGATAGATAGAGAGATAGATAGATAGACATGTAGGTAGATGAACACGAAACATATCCAATGTGTATTCGCTTCGTATACAGGTGGAAAGTTTGCATCTACATCACTTTTTTGCCCCAGGTCGACATCTCCTGGACGCCCAACGCATTCAACGGCAACTCCATGGTCACTCATTACATCGTCAGCCCGAGCCCTTGAGCCGATTGCAGACATCAGTTGAATGACGACGACCAATAACTACAAGGCAATGTCGCACAGTATTTGGCTGAAGGACAATCAACAGCTAGAGTCCGGCTTAACTAGGGCGGAGATGACGTGGCTTCGAGGCGAAGACAACTTCACCAACTCCACAGAGCAGATGGCACAGGCCTCCAGTGCACTGCAGCAGTGCTCTCGAATCCGTCGTGCTGCCGTGGGCAGGTCAGCAACACCATTACCACATACAGCTTCACGGGTCAAGACCCAAGCACGTGCCTCAGCTGGTGCCTGCCCCCTGGGTGCTGCAGCCTTGCAATTGGCCTCATGGGCGCAGGTGGCCCTATTCACTATGGTGTCCGATCGGTCAATTCCGTCGGCGAAAGCCCGCTGCCGAGTCAGGGTGTATCTCGTACAAATCAAAGAAAGATCCCTTCATCGCCATTTTGCTGATTGCTTTTCTAAGGCTCCGAAGCGATGTGTACTGTGACACCCATCGCATAGAGAGAGCCAGCCGATGCCACAATGTACAGATGACCAGTCAGAGGCTGCCCTACTTCAGCCCCGTCTAGTTGAGAGGCTCTACAAGGAGGATTTTGTAGGTCACAGGAAGTGGGGCAGAGCCACAGATGCTTTGCATTTAGGACCCTGAAAGGGTTCCTGGCGGCGGCCTACAAGTGGCCTCTTGCCTGTTAACATACCAAGCCGGCTTGTTGAGCAAGCCGCCAGCACGGCGCGGTGTAACCAGAGCCAGGGAGTTTCATCTGAAATTGGCACGGAAAGACAGAGCAGCCTGGAAATGCCTTCCTGGAATGGTTCTTCCGCGGTCGTGAGCACACAAGTGTGGGCCGCACAACTCCTCGCGCTCTCGTGCGTGGCCCGCTTCCATTTTCATATTCCGGAAGCAGAGTGACGTGGAGGCCGTTCTTCTTCGGTGCTATAGCCAAGCCTCCAAGCCGAACGTTCGCAAGTAATATCTCTTCAGAGACGAAATACCAGCCGATAGTGGCACATGGACACTCTCAGCTACGCTCACTGCCGCCAAAGCGCGTGGCAGAAGCCTGACGAGGGTGTGCTTTCGTGCCACTACCTCTGAAAGAACAGAAGCAAAGCAGCAAGAAGCCGCGAGGGCGCGGTCTCCTGACAGGTACCCACCTGGCATGGCAGAGGAGGCGTCAAAATGGCCGCCTTGCCTTGGAGTAGGTCGCTAACCTCATGCCACAACACGCGTTTAACGAAGCCTGTCTCAGTGGACTGCACTGGTTCTCCTATGACTTGCTTGGAGCATTGACATTCGGTTGTCGACGCTTCGAGCAGGTCGGCATCTCGTGGCGCTGTTCTGCCGTTACAGAGGTTGTTCTTTCAAGGGTCGCAAGCTGTAAGCCCTGTAAGCCATTCGGAGCAGTCTTACTCAGCTCAGTAGCGGGGATGCGCAGTGTGTCCTAGGCAACATGTCTTTCTGGTGTAGTAGTAGTAGTAGTAGTAGTAGTAGTAGTACAGCAGCAGCAGCAGCAGCAGCAGCAGCAGTAGCACTGATTTGGTGATTGCGTAGCAAAGGCACCAGCAGTGAGGACAACGTTGCAGGACACGTCGGAGCTGCAAAGAAAGGGGTTAGTATGTGGTAGAGCCTGTCCAAAGAGTTGAGTCAATGTAGTTGCTCGTTCAGCGTTTTCTGCTTCAACTTTAGGGCCAACTTGTCAGTTTGTCGGAGGAGCACCTGTCACCCGATAACAAACGCAAATCCCAAGCCGGAAGCCCCTGCTTTGTTCTGCAAGTTGAAACTTTTTGAGACCGAGAACCCGCAACTCCAAACTTAAAACCTTGGCACATGCCCACAACTCCTTGCCTCACGGTCTCTTTGCCATGGTCAGCGGAGCCACGCAGGGCAACGACGGCAGAGAAGGCAGAAACCTTGGTTAGCAAGTGTTTTGTGGCAAAAGTTTTCCACGGCTCGACCCATAGTTACGCAGCCCTGGAACCCCAAATCTTCAAACCCAAAGCGTACTAACGTACAACACCAAGAGCAACCCCAGGCTTGGACCCAAAGAGGCGTCGGTGCCTCCTCGAAGATCCCGATGTGCAGGCACGGGAATTGTTGGTGGCCCTCACGACTGTACTTGAGCACAGACTGCCTGCATGTTGCGGTTTATGTTGAGAACAACCAGGACTGGCCCAGATCATGCTTGCCATGTCGGATTGCCTTTCAACAACTGCCCTTACGCATCGGTCTGGTTGATGTCCAGTTGTGCTCGATTTATTTCTGATTTCAAAAATTTGGGTGTGTGATTTTCTATATGTTCGGTTTCTGTGTGGCAGGCTTTGCTGCGGGAGGAAGGCCAGAAGCGCGATGCTCTGCCACCTCTCCTCCAGGACTCGACATACACATAGATTGTTTGAATTCTCTGGTTGATATCATGAATCGCCACGACTGGCCTAGCGCTTGCCATGTCGGATTCCCTTCTCAATAACACAGTTGGGCCACTGGTCTGGTTGATGTCCAAAGAGCGTGAAGGGGCTGAAATGATTGCATGGAGCACCTGCTTCCCTGTAGAAGACTATCCAGTTCTCCATATGTGCCCTTGATGTGCAGGAAACATTCTACGTGAATGATCCAATCCACGGTTTGATCTGCTTGCCTGGGGTCGCAGCTGGGATCTCATCGGGCATACACTGTAGCAAGAGACAGCCCGATTTTCCTTTTGATTTTTGGGGGGTGGTTAGCTGCTGGCTGCGCCTGCCCGTTTCCTTTGTCGAGGTGAAGCTTTTCGTGGACTCCATGGAGTTTCAGCGCATGCGCTTCATTAAGCAGCTGGGCATCTGTGAATGGGTCTTTCCAGGCGCAACGCACAACAGGTTCTTTCACTCCATTGGCACGGCCTACCTTTCCTGGGAGATGATCCGCGGGCTTCAGAGCCGCCAGCCGGAGTTACAGATCACGAACCGCGACCTCACCTGCGTCACTTTGGCAGGCCGCAGAAAGCCCAAATTTTAATTGCCCAGACCAAGTTCATGGAGTCATTGTCGGGCCTTTGAAGGCCTTTGCCACGATCTTGGGCACCCGTGCTTCTCCCACATGTTCGAGGTCTTCATGCACCAGCTGGGCCATGACAAGTGGAGCCACGAACAGGCCTCCGTCGTTCTCGTCAAGGACTGGAGAGCCTTTCGAGCTTGATCTTCAGCGCACCTGAGCAGGAGGGTCCAGGATTTCTGACTTCCAAAACACCAAATCCCCTCAACGCCCCAGAAACATCCAAAAAAAGCCTTTATGAGGCCTTAAGCCCAAACCACCCTAAATACCCTAGGAATATCTCAAGAAAGCCCCTTATGAGCCCTATAGGCCCCGAGTGAGGAGTTGCTGGGGCGCTTTTGGCCCCGGCTTTCCGCGGAGCTGGGCCTCGGCTCTGATGCAGAGGGAGACGACCAGCAGCCATCCAGCTCAAAGGGCTTCGAAGTGCGTTTGCTCATGTTGTGTTTCGTTTTTTCCGATACATATAATATAATATCTTGTTGTTTTGTTTTTCGTGGCTCCAGGTGATGATGCTATATGATGCTTATGATGATGGCGATGGTCGTAAGTCTTGTCTTTGGTCGGACTCGGAGCCGCCCGAGTCAGAGGGGGCGATGAGGGGGGGGGCTTAGTAGGTCGGGCTTCGAGTCTTCGAGGGCCAGTGCGCCCCTTGGACGAGTATACGTCTCCGCAGGTGTATGTAGAGATCTCCTTGATGATTGGGGCGGCCTCTTGACTTGAGCCGGTGATTGCCGCTGCAGAGTCTTAACGATATCCTTGACGCTTTCCTTCTGGTGCTGCGCAGCGCAGATTCGTAGAGTAGACGCACACTCTGGGGCTCCAGGCTCCACGGCTCCACCCCCTTAGAAGAAGGGAAAGAAGGGGGACGGCGAATGCTGAGGCTCATCCAGGAGCTCATCGATCCGCCGAAGGCCGAAATGGAGAAGCTGAAGGAGGGCAAGAGGCTGAAGGAGGAGTGGGGCAGCCTCCTCAAGGGGCGGACTGTGGACAAGGCATGGATTTATGAGATCGCCCCTTCTCCTTGATTTGGTATGTTTCTGCTTTTTGTTGCCGAGGGGGCGGGGGGGGCGGTGGGGGCTGCGGCCGCGTTGCGTTCAACAGCACCGATGTCGGAGGTTCCAGCAAAGCCAAGCTACCTATACACCGTGTGCCGAGCAGTGAGAGCATCTGCTTAAGGTCAGCAACTGGAGAACAGGCATCGACGTCGACAAGTTCGACTATTTCAGGCGTTGAGTTTCAAATCTCGGCCTTTGGGAGCAAGAGGATAGCGGATAGCGAGTGAGGGGTGTAAGGCCGCACGATACGTCTCAACATAAGGCCACACACAGCTGTGCTGCTCGGACGCGCTTTCTCAGCATCGTGTCAACAAATTCTCATCCGTATTTCCTCGGGCTCGAGCTTGAGGCACAAAGCGACCTGCAAGCCTTGAATCAGACCGAACCGGACATCATGTGGAAGGCCCTGTTCCTTGCAGGGCTGGCCTGCGTGCTGGCTGAGGAGGATGGTCAGGATGGCTCTTGCATGCTGCAGGCCCAGGCTCACGGCAAGGACAACGTCGCGATGGTCGAGGCAAAGCAAATGAAGGCCGACCTGAAGCAGGCTTTGCATCAGAAGACTTGGAACAAGGGCTTCTGCAAAGGGGAGCCCCTCACTGAGTTCAACTTCAACGGCTTCAGTCACGGCACCGAGGCAGGGATCGGAATGCGTCGAAGTGCAACAGATTAGATTTGTTAAACAAGCCGCTGCCGCTTGTTTCTTCTTGGGTGCCTTAATGAGGGTTGCTCGATCTGAATCTAGCTGCTCTCCTGGCCTTTGCAGATCAAGCCGGATTCCATCAAGGGC